ATTCCTGCAGTGTTTAGAGGGTGCTTAGACACACCTAAGTCCCTGGATATGGACTGTGGCTCTGTCAGCGCCTCAGTTCAGCTTAAAGGAGTTTGAAAAGCTTACGCTGTTTCTTAAATTCTCAGACAGACAAGGTTAGGAGCGTTTCTGCCCCTTCAACTAGGTAGCATATGTTATTCAAAATGTCTCAGAGGTGCCTTAAAAGAGGCAGGAGAAAGGAGTAATGGAGTCACTTTATTTTCATTTTCCAGTGTTAATGCATCTTTAGATTCAGTTGTAGTTGAACGTTTAGCTGTTTACATCATCTGGTTTGCTGGGTGCCATGAAATGTCCCAGAACCAAACTGTGGGAGATATGGATAGATGGATAGATGGGTATACTTGCACAGTAAAACACTGTGCAAGTATTAGTATATCACTGCCTGAAGAGATGGACATCTTCATAAATTTTAAGGATGTGAAGCATCATCCTTTTCCATAAAGGGCTGATGTGAAATCAGCCATCAGCTTGTTAAGAAATACTAGCCCTGCTCTATAGGACTACACACAGGTGTATTTTGGTCCCTGTTTGCATCTGCTCCATTTTGGTGAATAAGAGTGGGGTCTTTGGCAGGGGGCTCCCTGTGACGTCCCATACTAAGGGCTTTGGCTGGGTAGCACATGGGTCCGAGTGGTTCAGAAAGGCTGGAAACCTTTTCTCCTGTCTCTCCCATGCTTGGTTACTTAACCAGAGCTTGTTTTGATACCATTATGTGTGAATGGCTTCCCTTGGTGCCTTTGGAAAAAATTGAGTGTATCTAAAATCTAGCAGAGCTTGGACCTTAAACTTGCTTCTGACACCTGATGCACAAGGGGCAACAGCTGTAGATTGTTCCCCAGCTGGACCTTGGGGCTGGGCATGACTGGGCTCCTAGGAGGGGGCAAGCTAGCACCCTAGAGAATAGGGCTACACGAGAGCCACTGAGGAAGGCAGGGCCAGGCTCTTGTTTTGTCAGCCCTCAGAAGACCAGCTTCATCATCTACGCGAAATCCTAAGGGTTCTTGTAAACAGGCCTTCTTGTAAAAGGTCTTGGAGTGCAGCACACACTGCTTGTCGTGCTGAAACTTCAGCCCCAGCACCTCTCCTGGGGAGATGCTGCACGGCAGGGCTGCTGTCTGGTCCAGACTTAGTGGGAAGAGCATAGGGGTCCGCCACAGAATAAAGCATGTCCTGAGATGTGAAAAGGCAAAATGGAGCTTATAAAGGAGGGTAGTAATTTAAAACACAAATGAAAAGCACCATTGTTTGATGAAGGGGAGAGGACGAGAGCACGTTCAAAGGAAGCCCGTTTCCCAGGCCTATGCAGTCATTTCCCTGTCTCGGGCTCTTGCAGTGGAGTCGCTCTGATTGCTGCTCGTGATAGTAAAATAAGGGACACTGCGTGATTGTTTATTTCTGCTTCGGGGATGGATTTTAATGTAAACTTCCTAAATCCCGTACTCTGGAGATCTTTGGAGAAATGCCAACTTGTTGAGTTCTTGAATTATGTACACACTGCAGACTTTTTTATATCTTAAAAAAGAAAGTCTTAAAGTTTAGAAACACAGTGAAGCATGGGAAACTGCAGAATTTATCACAGATACAGAGAATGGCAATAAAAATTGAGTGAATCACCTCACATTTCATTGTTGCTTCAGAAAGAGTATTCTATAGGGCAGGGAACCAACCAGGTGCTTTGCCTCCTACAGCAACTTTGGCTCAGGGTAAATAACCATTTTGTATCTGTTTAAACTACAAAACTAAAGCAAAGTTTAATTGCTAGGAAACTGCAATGTCTCGAGACTATTGCAGCCTGTCAGTCTGGTGTGCCTCTTCCAGCTTTTTACAAGGTTGCAGTCAAAAGTAGGATCCCAGAAGAAGTGCAAAACCAGAATTATGCAGGAGGAAGATTTTTAATGTTTCAATAAAATGCCTCTTTTTTTCTTCAGTAGACTACACACAGATTCGAGCTCCTGCTCAGCTGTTTGCCATCACTGAAAATGTTGCAGTTGTTCAAAGTTCATGCAGGCTGTAAGTGCCTCCATGTTACTGCTGTCCTAATACCTGTGTCCCCTCATTTAGTCTATACTGGAAATGTCTTTGAGATAGGATGTTACACTTTCTGCTGCCAGGCTGCATCTGTATTTTTCAGGATCATGTGGTAGTTTCGTTGATGTGGGTTGGGAGATGTGCAGATATGTCTGTCTGTCGTGTGTGTATGTATATATGTGTGTGTATATATAAATACATGTGTGCACATGTATGCTACTGAGAAAGTCATTTAAGAGTGGAGATGGTATCCTACTGTTTGTGATATGTAAGGAAAAATAAAGCGATGTAGGTTTCTGTTCCAGCTGCTGGATTGTCAGGTCTTGACTATGTGGTCAACGGCACTTCCTGATGGCATTTTAGGAGGATTGTGTGAGATTTTCATTGCACTATTAAAGATGTGCAAGCACTTCTATACTTGCATGCTTTCCTAACTGTGGCATGTTTTCCATGTCTTAGATATTCCCTCCATATTTTCACCCCATGTGACAAGGTGTCAACTTGCCCAACCTCTACTAGCAATCTGTTCCCTGGTTTTAGGATAAGTCTTTTGGTTCCCGTGCCTCCCTTTAGGTCTGCAGGGACTCGTGGAGGTTTTTTGAGTTGCTAACTTTTGGTTCTTCAGCTAAATTGGGCTGTACTTCCTCAGGGTACTAGCTACTTGGTGAGACTAGCATGGCAGGGGTCAAATTCAGCAAAGCCCCAGAGGTTTCTTCTTAGGCTTGACAGACACTCTACACAGAGCTGGTGGCAGAATTCCAGATTCCAAAATAAACAAGCCTGCTTTCCCAGAGCAGCTTCTTCCCAGTTTTCTTGCTTCCTCTGAGACCCCTTTTGATGCCTTTGGATGTAGAAGCTGTCAACACCTCCTCCTCTTCCCAGGCTCACCAGATCCTGAAGGAATAGTCTGTCTGGGAACCTCATCGATTACAAGTGTGTCAGACTGGGAGAAGACACAAATGGTTTCCTGACGACTTTCTTTTCCTGAAATACCTGCTCTCGGGAGCCCCGGCAGCTCTGTGGGCTGCCTGGTCACTACTGCCTGGTGGAATTGTGACCAGGACACATCTCATAGGTGACAGGGATGGTGCTGCTGCTCCTCTGCTGCTTTTCCCCTTCACTTGGCTTGTTCTGATGTTGGAGGAAGTGGGAAATGGGACCAGAAAAAATGGAAGTTCGTTTCTTCTTCCCAGCCTTATTCTTACTTTCTTCTTACTGGCCGACACCCTCAGATCTTAAAATTTATTCATGCACTAAGCTGCCCTACCTTACAATTTCTTCACTGCACTTTTATCTTCTAAACAGGGCCTGAGTACAAAGCTGAATTTTGCCTGACCTAGGCATCAAACCTCCCTTTCCTTTCCTGTCCCCCCCCACTTTTTTTTTTCAGGTCCCTTATTCGTTGAACCATCTAACTCCTGAAGGAGCAGGGATCTGGTGTTCAACGATCCTCATTGCTCCCAGTTTCAGTGGCTTTAAAAGAAAAGGTAAAGGTTTTCGTCAGCCAACTCTGAGCTGAATTTTGCCTGACCTAGGCACCAAACCTCCCTTTCCTTCCCTCTCCCCCCACTTTTTTTTTCAGGTCCCTTATTCATTGAACCATCTAACTCCTGAAGGAGCAGGGATCTGGTGTTCAACGATCCTCATTGCTCCCAGTTTCAGTGGCTTTAAAAGAAAAGGTAAAGGTTTTCGTCAGCCAACTCTGAACTAGCACACGTTGAAAGGGAAACTTGCAGACTGGCCACCTCGGCCCGCACGAGCATGGCGGCGGGCCGGGCCCAACAGGGCTTGCCGTTGCTAAGCGACGCGGCCTGGCCGCGGCCTGGGGGTGCAAGAGCGACCTGTTGCTGTTGCCAGGGTTCCCAGAGGCCTCTCTTTCTGTCCGGAAAAGTTGTTGGCTCGTGTTTTACTCGCGTGCTCTTAACCCAATGCTTTCCCTCTTTTTCTAAGGTAATTAGAGTGACGGGTTTCATGAAAGGACTTTATACGGATTTTGAATTGAAATCAGAGAACGTTAAGGTGCGTGTTAATCGTCCTTTTGTTTGTTTGTTTGTTTTTTCCATATTTAAAGTGTGCTTTGATGCTTTCCCCATGGTATTTTCCTTATGTCATTTCTCTGTTCCCTTTCAAGGGAATGTCTTTAGTTTAATGCTGTGAACGTACAGGAGAAGGCGTTGCAGAGTTGTTACTTTGTGTTGTGCATCAGGAGGTACCTGCAGATTGTGTCCGCGGTGTTGCCAGGCGTACGGATGCAAACAAACTGCCCTGTGCTAAAGAACTGTCTCCGTAGGCAGTTGTAGTATTTCCTTCCTTCGCTGTTGTTAATGCAGGGAGACACTAATGAAGGCTCTCAATATTAGTGGAGACAATCTCAAAATCCCAACTATGTGATAGTTGTTTGGTTTTAATCTGTTCAAAGGAGTCAAAGATGGGAAGTGCCCTGGCTCTGGAGACTGTCTTCCCGCCTGTTTAATGATCATTCACATGCAGTCGAACCCAGCTCCTATTTACGGTTTAGCTTTGGGACCTCAAATATCCCATGGGCCGTTCTGTTACCCTCCAGTGCTAGATAATGCTACCAGATGTCCTCTGAAGGGTATTGACCTCACACAGCTAAGATAATACGTGTTTCTTTCACTTCCCTTTGTATTGGTACCTCTATTAAAACAGATGCAGCTCACTCTGGATGTGGGCACCTGATACCCAGACAGTAAGTGCAGCGTGAAGTTGGGTGTTCTGTTGGATAATTCTGGCTGCTTATTTTTCTAGAGTAACTGAAGTGTCACTGGTCAGCTTTTCAGTTATCAGTTTGTATGCCATGATTTATATTCCTTTGAAAAGATGCCTACTAAAATAAACATATAAAATTCTTCTTGGATGGGTCTGCTGTTTAAAAGGCTGGTATAATACCTTGTTTTTCTTCACTCATCAGCATAAGGGATGAGTAAGTAGACTTTCATACTGAAACTGGTAAAAATTTCACAAATGTTATGATATTTTATTAATAAAACTTTCTTTGCCCAGGTATTTTGCAATTCGGAGACTTCACATCATGATTTAATTCCCTGAGCAAGGAATTTCCCCAAAATATTTCACTTGAGTGCTAAAACCAACCTGGGAATTATATTTTATATATTTTTGTATATACATAGATGCACACTTTCCTATGATTTTGCATAATCGTTAAAAGCCATTATCTTTTTATGAGTGTGGTTGATAAAAGTTTTTGGCAAAGTCAAATTTTAAAATGAAATGCATCTGTTAATATCTGCCTCTCCTCATTTCTTACTGTCCTTCATATCTCTTCCTTACTCACTGTTAAGTCTGGTTTGCAAAGTACAAATATAAGCACTAAGTCCCACAATTTAGCATCATATAAATCCTATAATTTTAGGACATCTGCGTTGAAGAGTGTCCTGTGCAGGAATTGCTGAGGAACTGTGTGATAACAATCCTGCTGCAACTTTCAGGATTCTTTGGGAAATATTTGCATTATTTATATATTTATTTTAACAAAACATTTCACAATGTTCAAAAGTTTCTTTTAGATTGTCATTTTTGGAAACATAGTGCCAGAAATCTTACAGTAGTCTTAACGTACTGGAGTGAAACAGTAAGCATATTGAAAAGATGAATTTACATTTTTAATTTGGCCATTCTAATTCAGTATACATCCATTATAAAAGTTGTCATTTCTTAATCAGAAATAGGAAACTAACTCTAAAGCAGGGGTAGTAGCCAGATTTCCTGACCCTACAAACCATGTGTCTTAACGTGTTTGACAGCCTCCAAGTGACTTGGAGGATCAAAAAGAGGTGCAGAGATTTCAAGAAGAGAGCTTGCCCTTTATTCTGGGCTCAGTCCTTCCTTCCAGGTGCAGAATTTGGTCTCGGAAGAGGCCCTTCCTTCTGCTTTGGGCAGCAAAGCCCAGCTTTGGGCTGGGCTTGCAGCAACCCAAGTCAACCCAAGGATGCTGATACAGCTGCTCCTAATGGCTTCAGCTTGCACAAAACCTGCCCGAAAGCCACAGCTTGGCTATTGGAGACACTTTCTGCAAACATTCCTCCCTGCAGAGGTTTCCTGGCTCTCAGTGATAGATGGAATTATTTTGAAGTGTCAGGATTAATTCCTAATTACTGTTTTGCCAGGATAAAGATGCCAAAATCAGCTTTCTTCAGAAGGCAATTGATGCTGTTGTACTGGTAACAGGAGAGCCACTGTCAGTAAAACCAGCACGTGTTGTAGCTGGACATGAACCTGAAAAAACCAATGAATTACTTCAAGCAATTGGGAAGTGTTGCTTAAATAAGGTATGAGGTCGCTATTAAGGTTTGTCCCTAGCTACGGTACTGTGTTTATTGAGCTGTTCTATGTATGAGTAGAGCTCTGTTTGTGACAACTGTTTTGTCATTCATCCATCATTTTTGTTAACATTATGTTATAATACATTTTGTTCGGTCACCTGACAGATGTTTAGTGCCTGATCCATAGCACAAATCTATCTTAGATAGGTGATTGCTTTAAATTTATACTGTTTTTCTATTTTTTATTTAATTCGTTGGTCATATAATACAATTTATTATGTTTTAGGTGGAACATGAGTTTTCAGAATTTTGAACTTTTGAATGCAAACAATTATGCATCCTTGTATGAAAAGAGATTGCTACTTTTGATTTTTTTTTCTCCTCAGATCTTTAATTCTCTAATGAAAATTCTTTGGATACAAGAATGCAGGAAAGGGGAATCTAATAATCTGTTCTGCTGCTACTTTTTTTTTTTCCTCAGATCTTTAATTCTCTAGTGAAAATTCTTTGGATACAAGGAATGCAAGGAAAGGGGAATCTAATAATCTGTTCTTTAAAACTTCAGAGGCATTTTGTTCTTAAAATAATTGTCAAATTAAATTTACTAATGTAAAATGGTATTATTTTGTTTTAATAAGCCAAGTGTTATGGGCTTCTTTTTTATGAATTACTTGAGTTTAGAAAGGAGAAATTGATACGTACTTGATGGACCAGCATTGTAGAATATTGTGATGAGATGTAGCATCCAGAAGATAGAGTCTTCCCATGTGGATTAAGATTATTGCCCCTTTGTTATTGTGAAATATGCATTGTGGAAAAGATTTTCTACAGATTCTAAGTTCATCCTTCTGGTGCTGAGCTGAGTATACTACTTAGAGTTGTATAGTTCAGGGAAATGTTTCTATTGTAGAGAGCTGAGCATCCAAACACAAAACCCACAGAAACACGTACAGTTTTGCATTTATGCACCAGGAGTCCAAGCCTCAGGGCAATATCATTTTGAATGACCTAAAAGATATTGTTGTTTCTGGAAAGACAATTCTGAAAAGAATGTGATTTATTAATAATAATATATATTTAATATACTTAACCCTTGCCAGTTGGACATTGAGAAATGTCCTTAACTTTCCAAAGGATCTGATTAGAAATATTTGTTTAAAAAAATTGTAAAACTGAATTAGATATAAATGGATTTTCAACTTTGTAACTGAAGCTTATTGAAAGTCATTCCTAAAGTAAGTTTCTCTGCCTTCTTTTCTTAGCAACTGTTTCTGAATGACTAAGTGTAAGAAAAAGTTGCAGTGTTGCAAATACAACAATACAACATCATAATATTATCTTAAAAAAATGTTTAACCAACCTGGCATCACGACTTGAAGCTCTGCAATAATTGACACTAACCTTTTGAAAAAATAAGCCATTGCAATGAGAGTTGCTGTTATGTTGTAACACAAGA